TACAAGAATGGCAACCCACCCTCAATTGGCCATACATTCAACGACACCTCAAACTCAAGGCCTCCGGCTGGCAATTCGCAAAACATCGCACCACTTTCACACGCATGTCCACCCACAAACGTCTTTTTCAAAGGCTTCGACGACGACAAAACACCATCAAGCAGCCCCACCTCCACACAAGTCAACGCTTACACGCATTGACAGTCCTACGTGAGCTCAGCAAACATACACATTCATCTTTTGAAACTTCAACAGCCATCCGCAGCGGCAAATACACTGATCTCGAAATCTATGCCTTCCGTCGCGTGGCCGCCAGCTTAGAAGAACCCGATCGATCACGAGTCCTTCACCTTATACACTCAGCACTCAGCTTCCGCAATCTCACTCCACCAAAAGCCAACAAGCCCTTCACCATTCCTTTCCTCTCCCACAGTACTTTCTTTTCCTCCACGGAAAAATGGCTTCGCACATTGATCCAACACCACATGCACCACGTCATACCATTCCATCCACCCACCACCAAACTGCGCGAAGCAGCGCACAAGACATTACGATCAAGGTTGTATAATCACAAACGTTGGGAGGAACTCTTCTCAGCACAACCCTCAGCGGCCGACATGCCATGCAGCTGCCACCACATGCACTCCCTTCTCCGACCCAACCACACACCGCCGCTCTACGATGGCCATTATGTGCTCACACTCGATGACCTACAGCTACCCAGCCATCTTCAGATCTTTTTACAAGCCAACATGAACAGCACCTTCTTTCCCACGAAGACAATATTTTCAACACTTCCAACAACAACTCACTCAATGGCTACGACACCATGGTCTACCTACCGCCCTTCACCAACACAGCCTACCTTTTCTACACCAACAATGGAAACAACACATTGCCCACATCCTACACACACCACGATTCACATCACGCAATGTCACCCAATTACAGCAGTTCCTCACGGACAAGCTGGTGTTACATCACGCCGACCACGAACTACAAAATCTACGGCTTTTCTGCCCACAACACTATTTCCACGGATGTCTCACTACTTGGAACACACCACAACTTTTTCTACCACTACCAGACCTCACTGCCCAACAACTCCACCAACTGCTCACTCAATCTTTCCCCGCCAACATACGACGAGCCTGCCCATGGGGATTCCGCAAACAATTCTACACACCACATGGAGTAGTCTTCCTCAAACAAAAGAAGTCATGGCGAAAAGGAAGAACAGTCATCAGCTATTTCAAATCTATAGCTGGCACACTGTTGCGAGCCACCTCCAAGGCCTTGGACATTATGCTTCTTCATCTTCTACCTCAACATCCAGGCCAACTTTCCATCCCCAACCTATGGCAACACCTCCACAACCACTTCCAGACAACACCTGACGACATTCACCTCACACCGATCAATGATGACCTTGTCGGCTTCTTCAACAGTGTACCTCAACAACGTCTCGTCGACGCAGTCATCAGCCTATGCAATCGCTGGAAAGCCCAACACGCAACCACCACCATCACCATTGACGTCCAATCCACCGGCAATCCCATTCAACATTCCCACATAGGTCGACACTACATTCACCACCCACAACAACGCACACTCGACACTCAGCACATCCCCCTGATTGTACAACAAGACCTTCAATTATGCATTTTTCAAGCCTGCAACACCTACTACAAACAAATCCAAGGAGCAGGCATTGGCAGTCAGCTTTCACCAGCACTCTGCAACGTTGCAATCACGCTCATCGAACACACCTGGCAAACCACATACCACACCTTTTTGCACCAACCCAGCCTTCACCTGCTCAACACACGCTACGTTGACAACCGCTATATCCTGCTCAACGAACAATACAGATCAGCACTCCCCATCACTACACTGGCCCATCCCGATTTTTATGAACACCCAGTCGAAATAGAGCCAGTGGACGACGACCGTCTACTCGGTTTCCTGATCGATCCCCTCAACAGAACCGTCACCTTTCAACTCCCCACACATCCCTGGCAGATTCGTGATCTGCAGTCAGCAGGAGTCACAGACTACGCCTTTCAGGCTTACAGTCACGCCACCACACTTTACGAAAATACACATTTCCACAACACCTCGCACCTACCACAGCACAGCAGTTGATGCAGCTCTATCTGACCAAAGGTCACTCCAAAGAACACTGCGCCGCGGCGCTGCGGCCACGAGGAAAAAGACCATGCGCCGGCAGACTCGCAGTCCTTCACTTCACTTCACATTTTCCAATTTACCAGTTCCTTTTCGACGACCTGCCCTACCACTATTTATTACACAGGTATTTTCTGATCCGGTTTAGTTGCGCCGATTCGGCTCTTTGTGTGTGTCCACTCCTGTTTCCAAGGACACTACCCTAGCTCTTTCTAACCTACCCTACGACGTTTGTGACCAATGTACAGCAGCAGGGGGGCACGGCGGCCGTTCACCTAGCCGTGCTAACAAAGCTATGGTGTTCGGTTGGAAGAGATACTGGACGCAGTATCTTGCACCTGCAATTTTAATTCTCACTCATTGATGCTTCCAAGTCAGTTCAACGCTGTCTCATACGTTGTTTTGCAGTAAAGTGCTAATGCATTCGGCTAATGCAGTAACTACCCTTAAAGTGCTAATGCACACCGCGAAGCAGCCTGAAATCGCGCTCCACGGAGCAACCTTCTCAAGTGTGTGTGGTGTTCTTGTTCAAACGAAGGAAACAAATCGATAGCCGATAGCATCGAATATAGAGAAAAGATGTTCAAACAATCATAAAGATGCGTTCAAATCCAGAGATGATCACACACATAATGTGTTAACACCATGCACAGAGTGTTGTTCAATCCAACATCCACTGATGATGAGTGCAGGGAGGGAAGACAAACTTACACTTCCAAGCAGACTCGAAAAAAGACAGAAACATTTTCTGGCAGATGTTTCGGCCCCAAGACCTATATTGGAACCAAACCAATGGATCTCCACACAGGAAACCTACTATGCCTACAACACTTTGAATGACTTCTATCCATTCTTACAACAAACTTGATCTTCCCCATCCGGCGCCTTGTCATGGCACATGAATGCATCCCCATAGTCCACGAACACAAAGCTCGCCAAACCCAAGCAATCGGCAGCGATGAAACCCACCGGATTCGGTGCACTTCTGCAGAGTTTGTTCAACCTCGCATACTTGCGGACCCACACCCTCGGATCACTCAATGAAACCGGTGGAGCCGGAAAAACCGGCTGTTCGGATGCCGTTTTGGTGTCCAAAGAAGTTCGGACATTGGCCAAAGGCAGGTTCCTTTTCTTTAAAGGGACCTGTGTAGAGCTGCATTGCGTTTAGAGTGAATCAGGAAACACACAGAATTGGGTGGAAGTCGAAACATAAAAGCATAAGTCAAATAACTAAGCTACAGTATAACTAATGATAACACAATATAAGTATCTCCAAACACCATCAATATCAATCCATCAGCAAAGACATCGAATACGTGAAACGTCCTCCCCAAACAAGACCCCAACCTCGACCTCTCTTGGACCAGCTGACATCCACCATCATCCAGCCCCCTTCCGCACCTGACCAGCTCGGACTGCGGCGTCTCCGTCAAGACCATCAGCGAGACCTGCTGCACCAGCTGCTCGGTGATGGGACCTCGGTGGAGCTCCACGGCCACGTAGGGGTTCAACTCGGCCAGCTGGGCGCGGCACGCCTCCGCGCGGCTCCTCCCCACGTCCTTCGTGGGGTGTCTGAAAGGCGGTTGTGAAAAAGAAACCAGATAGCACAGCACAGGATCCCCATGATGCAGCAACATGAAGCAACTATCTACTTTCACACCCTCCAAGGCATGCCAATGCATGCTTTGACATTCTCTATATAAACCATCTGCTTTCTCACCGCAATCCTTCGACATACGGATCGAACGGATCGTCCTCTTGGGTGAGATAGAAGTTGGCCCCCAGGTCGCGGAGCTCCGCCGGCGCCTCGTCGTGTAAGATGACCTGCGCGGGCCCTGCGAGGATGAGGTTCTTCGCGACCTCCACGCCAAGGCCTCTGAGTCCAGAGATCAGGACCTCACCGGGAAGGCACAACGGGTCCGGATCTGGGTTCAGGATCTCTTTGAATCAGCCTTACTCAGCAGTTAACAGAACAAAAAGCACAACACACAGCTTTGAACAGCAAAAGCAAGGTAAAGAAAAAAACGGTATCCGTCTTTGGGGGCATGGTCATAACAAAACAAAAAAAGACTGTGCTGGCACTATGCAGTATGCTGGAAGTGGGAAAAAGTTCAAGTGGCCCAAAAGTGGAACCCGTCCACCCTGCCTTCATTTGCATTAGCTTCCCCATGGTTTCCATGCCATAAGTGCCAATCTGTCGGCTGTACAGATTCGTGTCGATCTTGGACATCTTGGCGGACTATGGCGACAGCGAATTCAAGGTCAGTCACTACGGACAGCACTTTCGGAGCGTTCTGTGATACTAGATATTGCCAGTGGGGCGTTCTGGTGAAATTTCGCTGGATCCACTGATCCACTCTCACATCGCGTCAACCCATCCTGCTTTCTGGGCAGAAGACAATGCACTAAGTCTGTCTTAAACCTTAGCTCAGGTTTGTCTGTTGCATGAATTAGTTATACTATGTAACGTTACTAGTTTCTGAAGATTCTGCGTGAGCCAACAGATTTTTCCAGAGATGGCCAGCGGGAGATCCAATGCCCACAGCCATCATGCTTTGTAGCCATGGGTTTCACATAGCTGACATGTCCACCACCGTTCCTTGCACCCTTGTTGACACAAAGAGCAAACCGTCTATCCCCACTTCAGGACGGTCAAACACCCTCGTGTATCTCACGTGAACCACTCACAGTATGTGGCCTTTGGATACCAGAACGGCGGAATGATGACAGAATATTTGGGTAGCATGCAGCATGTATCATGCGGGTGTCTATAATTTTGCCAATCGGAGAACACAACAGCATCCGGATCATGCCTGACTCAACAGGATTGGTGCTTCTTCTTCTCCTGGCGAAGCAAACCCAAAAGAAGCATGATGCTCTGCTGTTTGTCAGTGCCAATTTGCAAGTAAACAACTGAGTTGCACCCCTCCAGCGAGAGAAACTCGCAAAACTTGCACGGACCCCAAAATCGTGGGTGTTTTGGGAGGTTCCTCCATCTTCGGTTCACAAATAGCATCATGTTGCGGTCCAGATAGAGTGCCCACAGTGGACCTGACTGCAGATCGGGCAGCTGGACGCGCAAGTCCTTGAGCATCTCCATTTGCCCCTGTCCACATCGCTCATGACGGGGCAGTTGTGAGGGAAAGTCCGACCAGGTTTGATCTGATAGGCCATCTGTCCACTTGCTCACTTGGTCTATTAGTCTATTATATACAAGTAGTATATAGGGGACCTCTTCTTGGCATGAGTTCCCAGCGCTTGACGCTCAAGACATTGATGATCGTTCATCCCTTTTTGTACATCACATGTTCAGACTTCGCCGAGGCCTCTGATGACATCAAGAAACCAAAGGGTTAAGTCGGCAGACGGTGCAGACGAACAAACTTCACAAACTTCAATGGAGTCCACGTCTTGCACCGGCCCCCCTCTTCTCTTCAGGTTAAATTCACGTTTCTTGGGGACTGTGGAAGGTTGTCTTTTCACTATACATCCCCATGGACCAGCCTCATCATTCAGCAGCTGCGTGCGGAAGCTCTGCAAAGCTTCACCCTTCAGCTCTAAGGCCTTCAAACGCAACAGTTCCATGCCAGCCGATACTTCGGCTTTGAATGCTGCGTAAAGCTGCAAACCAAATATGAACCAACTGCTTGCTCATCCTGGTTATATTTGGTTCGTGGCTGCTGAGCAAATGTGGTTCGTCCATTTCGCAGGGCCTTGTCCAGGAGAGCTTCTGACAAAGGTCGGAGCGCCGTCTCCTACCAGTACCGCAGTGCCGTCTCGAGCCACAGCCCTCCTTGGACACCTCCATCATTGATTCATTGATCCAAAACATTCAAAAGCCAGGAGTGACCAGGGAAGAGGACATCAGTTTGGACCAGAACATTGAGGAGCCTCTATAACGACACATGTGTGGTCGTACTCGCTGCACTTGGTTTGTGCCCCTTTAGGTTTACTCATCTGAAATGAATTACAAAGACTATTACAAAGGTATGATAGCAAAGATTGACCAGCAGCCACATAATATTCAAAAAAACTCACATGTCTGTAGTTGAGACAAGTTCTAGGATTTGCGGAAATCTCAAGTTTAAAATGTGCGGAGTTCACCGTCCACTGTTCATGGTTTGATGCAAGTACTCTTCACAAGCGGAAAGTCCTTACCAGCCAGGCCCAAGTCAGCATGTTGCACAGCTGCAGAACCACTGGCCTGAACGAGTCCATCAGGGACTTCGTCAAGGCATGCGTTGGTCATGTTGAAGACTAGTTGCTTTCAAACAAACCCACAAAACATCACAAAACAACCAAGAACACACCGACATCACCCCCGGCCTGAGCTTGTGCCTCCGCTTCCCTCAACTCTCGAAAACTCCTGAGCAACGCACCAAGGCTGCTGTAGATAGCACCTGGAGCACTCTCAGTGCGAGGCTCAGTGCGAGGCTCAGTGCGACACTGGACTCCACGGAGGACAATCGGATCCAAGGGTGACTTACGGAAAAAATGATCGATGTGCATCGCTTCTACATATCGATTCGGTTTTTGCACAAATAAACACATCTTCACGATTCAGCATCCCTCATCAGCGTCCAACCCTCTGTTCTGGCGCATCACGGCGTCCAAACAGACCTCCAGCAGCCTCTGCTGTGAGCTGCTCTTTCCCTTTCGCCAGTGCCTGTGGTGTTTGAGGGACTGACTGAGGAACAGTCCGCTGGAAACTAACCTAAGCCCTGGAAGGTTGGACCCATGCAAGTTTGAGATTCTCTTCACAGGAGACGATCCCCAAGACACGCAGCTTCCCGAGAAAATCGGCTAAGACAAGATATGCTAGAGCCCAGCAGTTGGAGAAAATGCTCGTTCTCACACACACAGAGAAACACAACCCGCGAGGCCCTGTCAGCATCCACAAGAGGCAAGAGATCAAGGCTGTCTAAAGAATATACTACTGATGGTACAAAGGTTGCTCAAGATCGCTACGTCTTCGCAGTGCACCACAGCTCAAAGGTGACACATTTCGCAAGTGACGATACAGAACTCCAAAGAAATCCAAAGAATACATTTTCTTGGGAAGGTTTGTGGTGATTATATTATAGTTACATTTATAGCTGGTCGGGAAACAAAGCGGTCATATTTGCAGGCCAGGGAATTGGTGTTTGACTCCCAAATCCCCAAAACACGCGCACCGTCTCCCATGCATCGAGCGCTAACACGATGACTCTGGCATACTTCAACTCCTGCACGACCGAGCGGCGACGAAAACGACACGAACGTGAAGCAGTCGAACGAAGACGCCACATGGGCTGCGCGGAGGGGGTCATTCACCCCTCCGAAGTCGGAGTCGCTTCCATGCGCACGTCCGTTGGAGTGGACTCTCCGCTCACCGGGTATCAAACCAACTCGTCCCGGCCCATCACCCTCATTAGCCAACTTACTCAGTGAAGTCCATCCCCAAAAAACACATCACCTGGATGGAGAGTTCCTACGGTTTGCCAATGTTTGCCGCCACTTCTCTCGGGCACTCACTTTCAGACAGCCCATACAACATTACAACCAAAACCAACACAACCTATTCAACCTTATAGCAAAAAAAATGAGGAAACATTGTGAAACATGTTTCATGCATCATGGCGTGGGTGCATATTTTAACGGCGAACGCGTCCCGCACGTGGACTCGCGTCAACTCCTCGGCCGGCCAGTCGACCTGCGAGCTGACGGCCTCGCCTCAGTCGCGCTTCCATCGTCTGGAACGAAGCCCTGTGGAAGAGAAGAAGGTGGTGTCATGTGGTGTCTATCCTCAAGTGATTTTCTCTTGCAACTCCGGCGGAGAAGCGAGCCCTAGCAAGCCAACAGAAGTACTCTGCATGGGAGCCGACACTGCCGCAAAGATGCTCACTGCCATACAAGTTGGTAAAGAAATCCAAAAATCAAGCAATTGATGGGATTCCTTCACCAACTGCGACTAAATCATCTATCCACACGGGGTTCTGTGCATCTGGGTCAAAACCAGTGTGCGAACCCATGCGAACCCCTCGAAATGCGAACCGCAGAGGCCAACATTCGAGTCAAAATCAACCCTAGTCCCCAGTCTGGACCTTAGTCAAACCCATTGAATGCTCCAACCAAACACCGCCACCAGGGAAGCTCTCCATGTTGGGTTGCTATCGTTTCTCCCAATCGATTCTGTATAGTAAATGCATGCATCAAAAATCATGAAGGGGATGATTTTGGAGTCTCAGATTTGTTCCACGGTTTTGCACACTAAGATGTACGCCATCGCAGCATCAGCCCGACCTTTGCTTTGACTAGAATGTTGGACGAAATTTACGCGATTTGGTGGGCATCTACTTCCAAAAACCATAAATCCCTCTTGCTCACAAGATAGAAAAAAGTGAAACAGAACATGGGTGTTGTATGGTGTTGTTGGACTCATGTTCGCAGCTTGGAGGTTTTTCGTTGGTTTCTTTTGCAGGACCAAGGGCCGAAGGGATGCCCCCAGCGACGCCGGTCACCCGCCCAGGCACGCTGCAAGAGCTCCGCGTCCTCCGCGGCGTCGAGGAGCCGCTCCACGCCGTCCGCGGCCTCCACAAGGCTCCGGAGGTCCACGGCCGACTGCGCCCCCTTCCTCGGGGCGGTCACGGTGAGGCCCGGAGCGGGGGGGGTTGGTGCGGGGGCAGGGACACCAAGGCCCCTTGTTCTGGGGCTTTTGGAGTGGGAGATGATTCGATCACCAAGAGTTCACCCTAAATGATATCATATGATGTCTAAAGACCTCCCAAAGGCCAAAGACCGAACAGCTGAGGTATGAAATTACATGGTGTGAGCCAAATGCCAGGTCTTTCGGGGGTTGTCCGGGGTCCTCCGGATACTGGAGTTCTCCAGCCCTGAATAGCCAGCGGGCGACACGCTCTGGCCGCAGTGTCCAGCCGGGAGACACTCGAAGCTCTTGTGCCGCGGAGCACACTTTGGAGACCTGCAGCTCCGTCACATTGGAGGGGCCAGCGATGAGCCAGTATGGGTTGGGTCTATCATGGTCTATCCTATTGCCTGTAACAGTGGATGATGATGGTTCAGTTGCAGGCCTTGTCCAAAAATAGTGATAATTGTTTAATGACTCATGACTGCTACAGATAATAGGACAGACCCAAAGTATGGGTGTCAGAAATCAAAAAGAGTGATGATGTTGATTGATGTGTCCGAGAAGGAAAAAAAAGAAGACTTGAACACATCTTCAAAGCATCAACGGGAGCCGGGTTGCACATCCCGTGAGCCCCGCCCCACATGTCCCATAGGTCTCGCCCGTAGTTGGTGCGTCGAACCACGTCACCCCAGGCAGCCTCAGACTCGTGCTTCCGCAACTTCGTGAGAACCTCTCGCTCCTGGTGTTCGGCTCGGCGCACCCTTCTAGTAGGGTGGAGGCCGTCACAAGTAGGTTGGAGGCCATCGCTTCTATAGGTTGGAGGCCATCGCTATTAGGTCCTACCCGAAGGCCCCGAAGGTCCCGAAGGTCCTCGTCGGACAAGGGATCTGCCAGGACGGTGGTGTCCTGAAAGGGTCCGGTGCAAGACTTCGTGGCACTTCCAAGCCCTGGGTCAAAGGGCATGAGTCTCACATAGTCTCACTACCCATACTAGTACCATGAAAGAGTCGGAGAATAGTAGGCTCACTGACTTGAGAGCATGAAGACCCCACCCTGTGGACGAGATGTTCCAGGAAGTACAAGACCTCGCCACCGTCTTACAGTCACATCCCTTATTGACCCTAGAGCCACCGTGAACCACACACCATGTGCAAAGAGCGGTCCAAAGCAGTCTGGCCATCTGCTGCATCACCTTCTGCAACCTCCTCCTTTGCAGAGCCCACGAGGATGATATGTTTTCATCTTTGTTCAGTGGGGCAGTCCTGTAAGGTTCTACCGGTGGGCGACCAAATCCAGCTTGCACATGCAGCATGCATAACACAATCACATCCGAAATCATCCGAACCCATGCATGTCATGCGTCAATGTCGCCTTTGGGCTGGCTCCATGCTGAAATAGTGCAACTTTATTGTGTGAATGCAGCTGCAAAAAGACAAGCGAAACTCAAACTCAAACCATCTCAAACCCCTTCGCCTCTGCTTCATCTGGATCTGCCTGCCAGGAATGCTAGGGTTGAACACAAAACGCAACTAAATGGTGATGGGTCAAAAGCTGAAGCCCTGGTCCACCATTTTGGTGCAGTACTTATGTATTCTCCCTTTTGCGCCAAAAACATGTCCGTCGGGCTCCACATGTTTTTCTGTGAAAATGTTTGTTGAGACAACTCGAGGTCATCTCACTGACGTCTTGAATTGTTGCGGCGATTCGGTGGTGGTCAAAAATATGATAGCATCATTCATATATACCTGGGAAGGTTAACATGGAACCTGAAAATGGACCTTTGAAAGACTACAACCCAGTGGTTTTCAGGTTAAATGTATTTAAGTCTTAATCTTCCTGGGCGTATGATCTTCAATGATCATCATTGGCTATAGTTATTCTACATTATTCTGTTCCATCCATCGGCATCCCTGCAAAGCCAGTCATGATTTCCCGGCTGCCTCTTTCATGGATAACCACTCGCTGTCGACTCGAGAATTGTCGACTCGGACCATCTCCAAGTTGGGATCGTCAACGCTGCTGAACTATTTTGAGGTAGTTCACTAGGAGATGGTCACCAATGAGTTTGGATCGGTCACTATCTAGTTGGAGATGCTTTCTTAAGAGGCCTTGTCAGACATGTTCTTGTGTTCACAAAAAAGCACTGAAGTTCTGCGCTTGCGTTGTCGAAAAAACCAGGTGGGCGGCTTTGCTTCACATGGCACTGCTAAGCCATCGAAACTGCCTTGCTTCACATCACGCCTTTGAACGCCTTGAGCCACAAAACGCTGGCCGTGACGATCGGCTTCGGTTTCGGTTTCGTCCTTGCCGCCCGTGGTCCGCCCGCGACGGTACGCCCCAAAGGAACGGAGCAAGCGCTGTGGCCGTGATGAACTGCACGGTCTTCAGTGAGAAACCGAATGATCTAAGCACCTGCTGCTGCAGTTCTTGCAAGAAAATGAAGGCTTCTGAATACACTTGGCCCACCTCTGGTAAACGCAAACAGAACTTGGCAGCCCTGAATGCAAAGAACTTTGCATTGAAGTGTCATGAATCGTCAACCTTTGGCCGCGGGCAGCGGGCAAGCCTCTTTTCACGGGCAAGCCGCTTGCATAACGTTGGTCTTTCAGCGGGCAGGCCTCTTTGCATAACGTTGGTCATTAAGCTGTAGCGTTGCTTCTCCGGCACAACCATTTTGCAAGCTCGATCTGGAAAAGCGTAGCTTGACCAAGTGAGGTTTATATTAGCACAGCAGCCTGCGTCAATATGAATACAGTAGGTAATATAACAAAACATTACAAATCTATGATCGATGTCAACGAGGTCCAGATTCAATTGCTGCTAGCCAGTTTCATTGACAACAGGTAGGTGCACAGAGTTTACCCATGTTACGTCTACTCAACCAATTACTTACCACACAAGGTGAGACGACTAGGCGACTAGCAGGACCACCTAGCACCACCTCCCCCCGCATGTGGTCTAATCATCTAATCTCAAAGCCCCAATTTGGTGTTGGCCAAACGTCAAGTGTCCACCTCTTCAAGGACTCCAAGTGTCGTTCAGTGGTTTGCTGACGTGTTCCTCAGCAAAACATATGTCGGATCAAGACAAAACACCAAAAGAATCCAAAGAGAACTGCTGAATCGCCAAATCGCCAGAAAGGGCCGAATTGGAATTTGTGGGCCTTCCGGTTACAAGATCTTCCTCTCAAGTCTCCTTTGCAGGCAAGGCGTCGATGACAAACACAGAACTGTTCACTCAAACCCTCGTGTCGAGGGGACCATCTATAAAAAGCACTGGCTCTCTTCAATTCCAATCAGCCGGCCGCGATCAATCAAAATTCCATGTAAACTTCTTGCAACATGGTCGGCAGCGCACCAACTGGCTGCAAGACTGATCAAATCAATCAAAGTTGAATTATTGCGAGCACAACAAATAATTCTACAGGAATCGGCATCTTGGTGTAAGCCTGTAACCATCTTGTAGAGGATATTGATATCCGCTTTATATACCTTCCTCCTTACGAATTCTATGTGTGGTGATCGGATGCACTGTGAACAAGTCTATGTCCAACTCATAGTCGTAATTCTTGTTTTTCAAAAGTTGACTCTGCTTGCCTGTAGAACAGGATGGCTTGTTCCTGTGTTTATGATAGAAAGGAATCCAATGTTGCTCCACCCCAGCCAGGGTGAGGATGACAAAGTGATATTCATGTGGAATCTGACATTGGAATCTGTGACACCCTTACACAAACTCCTCAAACTGCTTGTAATCACTGGCAAAGTTCTCCTACTGTCCTACTGCAACAAATGTGAAAGCTCACTGCGAAGTCAGCCTGCAGCAAACGCAAGATGTGGCCTCCCCTTCTCGTATTGATTCTGATTTCGGGTCTTTGATGGTCTTTGCATGGTCCAGTCCAGCAGTTCAAGGAACTATACCTTGGCTGGTTTTAATCAGCCTAGGCCCATCTCACAGTGATATGATGAAGCTAAGCCAATCGTTCAGTGATCACCACACTTCACGTGACAAAGAGATAGCAACACCTTTGGCAGAGATACACTCCTTGGGTCACCTGGCGTGCCCACTCGTCGACATGGCCAACTCAGTTGTTGTGTGCTGCTTCCACCGATGTGGCCCACAGACTCAATGGGTCGCCAAAAGAATCACAAGAGACGTCCTGCTTAGTCTTTGACTCAAGAGGCGTCATCCTGGCTGTCTGAGGTTGGTATTGCTGCATTACAAGATCTCTGCATACTAATACTAACAATTATTTTTTTCAATATCATTTTGGGATATTCCTTCAATCCACACGCTTCGACTGGATTACCCCGGCGGCCTACCACTTGGCGATGCAGTCGGAGAGGCTCACCTATCTTTCAGCAAGGCCGGCATTATTTTCAAACTGAATGAGCAAAATAACGAGTTGGTGAAATGTTTTTTCAATATTAAGGTTGGCAAGGACATGCAAGGACTCTTAGCATCTAGGGACTCCAGTTGCTGTTGTTTATCGGAATGCGTGACCCAAAATGCCACTCAGCATGAATGTCTCGGAAGCAACCGACCTTGCCCCAGATTGACAACCCTCCAAACCCACAAGCTTCACCGCTTCGACCGCTTCGACGCCGCTTCGACGCGGCGCACCACTGAGAACTGATCTTCGCCCAGGTCGAGGTTCACCTGCCGGATCGTGGAACATCTGAGTACAACCGAGAAGCGTCTGTCTTAAAGACTATATAGATGTTCCCATTACCAAGTCAGGAAAGATATGAGCGACACTGTTTATTGGTTGTGTGGGCCCTGCACACTTCCACTTGGTGAGTGTGTCATCGCTTTCCACGCATTGAACCTTACTTGTGTTAAAAGGTTGTTTTCACAGTGCGGCAGACTTTTTGGACATGGAAGCAGATGGGCATGGCCAGAAGCCCTGGTATGGATTGTTCCACTCTGCCACGACAGTGATCCATGCTGCATGGATCAAGGCTCTGATCCAAACCCTATGGATCGCACGATTTGCTCGTTTGATCCAAGCCTCATCCACAAGTGAACCCTGACACAGTGGACTCAAAGAGATGTGTGTGAATGTATGCGTGTTTTTGTTCGCCTTTGTCATGCCATGTGTCTAGTCTCCCCATGTCACAACGATGCATGGAATGCCCAGGCAATGCAAAACCCTGAGCCAGGAAAGTCAAATTCACAATCAGGTGACACGTTTAATTTACTGGCTTCCGGTAAACCTTCTTGTTGGGCTCATTTGACTCCACCAAACCAATCGCCAAAGTCCGAAGTCAAAAGCGGCTTTGGGAAAGGCTACCAGTACACTAAGCAGAAACGAGGTTCCCTGATGGTCTTAGTGGTTAAAAAGCTGTACTGCAGACTGCAGCTATGAAAACTAAGCGTTCCTATAAACATGATGCTGTCATATGTTATCGTTTTTGGATGAGTGTATTATCGTTTTCCAAGTAAAAAGCAAATTCTGCAAACCCAATGTCGGGTCCTTTACTAAATAGCTTTCCACAAATGAATCAGGTTGCTCATATGCTGATATGTTCTGTTGATTTCAGTATCAGTTTTTCTTTGTGGAGATGGCCACTTGAGCTTGCAAGACACAGGTCCCGGCAACATGAGCTCTTCGTTGCAGTTGGACCAGAGGACAAAACACGCCCACGGCGTCACACGCGGCCGGCGAACCTCATCGCCATAGCGAAAGCGAACCTTGTCGCCCACCTGTGACCGAGAAAGGCTCCACAGCAGGGGAGGACTGACTCACCCAGGCAAATGCAGCAAACTGGTGGACGCGCAGGCCAAAAGAAGGGGATGATGCATCAGGAAACATCGGGAATCCCACTGGCCTGCCATGACCTGGGGTGTAAAATCAAATTTTACATAATTTTACCATACTTTACCCCTCCAAGGCCTTCTTCAAAGGGCTCAAACGACTTCCACCACTTCTCAACCAAGCGAGTTTTCCCTGCGTCTCAACACCTGCACTGGAGCTGGAAGCTCCTCACCTGAGCTCACTCCATGAGGGAGCAGCTTAAGTTCATTCTGACTTAGCCTTGGATGGGTGTGAATGTAGAACACTTAACTACAGCAAACAATTCAGTACTTGCCGCCCTGCCTCTAGGAAACTGCCGTTTACCATGGTAACAATTCTTTAAAGAAGGGCTATGCCTAAGTCACGCCCGCTACAACTCGTGGGTGCAAACAATTCAAGAGCAACGGAGCGATAGTCGAGAAAGGGTATGAGTATGAGCAAGTCACGATTTCAATGACGACTCACACACGTTTCAAAAGGTATATAAGGTATGGTATATATATGGATGGTATATGGTATTCTCCAAAAGTTCTGTTGAGTCTTGAGTCGTGAAAGAATCAACCCACCAGAAGTCCTCAGCTGCTTCGAGCCGTTGAACAGACACCTGACATCGCCTGACCAACCGTCTTTTGCTCGTGTCCTGTGTTCTGCGCGGCCGACCTTCCCGTTCAACAGGAAAAACAGAAAAGTAAAAAAGCAATACAAAAGCAAGCGTCTGCTGCCCCATTGCTTTAATTGTGTGTCTGTTGAAACGTCTTTCGCCACTACAAAGAAGGCGGCGGCGATCTAGCACCGGTTTCGTTGCAAGTTTCCCTTTTCGGATGCTTTCTGGATGAGCCAATCAGGTGATATCATGTCACTCTTTGTCCTGTGTGGTTTGGTGACTATACAAATTAGGAGACAGAAGCTCCGACCTGATATTCTCCAATACCTTCAACCGGAATTGACAACGTTTTGGGTCTCACACAAATTGCGCCACTCGTTCTCAACTGGGTGTGGCCAGAAACCCTGGTATGGATCGTTCCGCGCTGCAGCGAGAGTGATCCAAGCCCTATGGATCAGAGCGCTGTGGATCAAACCGACAAGTCACTTGATCCAAGCCCCCGATATAAACACATCTGCATGGCGGCGCTCCACCCCACCACTTTCTCACCAGTTCACTGTCGAGTTGCATGATGAGGACAGGCTCACCCCGAACAC